CTTTGATTTTAACTGATAGATTCATGTTTTTTGTGTTCTCGATATTGTTGAAGGTTCTACAGCTGTGAAATCTGCGGAATTCAGTGGACAGGCTGAGAGATCTGCAAAGAGAAAGAGGAAAAACCAGTACAGGGGGATCAGACAGCGTCCTTGGGGGAAATGGGCTGCAGAGATTCGTGATCCCAGGAAAGGAGTTCGTGTCTGGCTGGGAACATTCAACACTGCTGAAGAAGCTGCCAGAGCTTATGATGCTGAGGCTCGTAGAATCCGCGGCAAGAAAGCTAAGGTGAACTTCCCCGATGAAGCTGCTCCGCGTGCTGCTACACCTAAGCTCTCCACAAAGACCAAAGCTCAGAAACCAGTTCCCAAGGCAACCCCGAAATCAGATGCCATTTACTCAGAATATGCTGAGCAAGAGTTCTTCAACTCTATGAGCTATGTGGAAGAGAAACCATCTCTGAACCAGCTCGGGATGATGAACACCTTGCCCTCAAATGAAGATGCTGGAGTCAACTCTACTGTTGATGCTAGTGCTCCTATGTACTTCAGTTCCGATCAAGGGAGCAATTCTTTCGATCTTTCTGATTTTGGATGGACAGAACAGGACGGTCCAAGGACACCCGAGATCTCGTCTGTGTTTCTAGCTGGGCCTGAATTCAATGAATCTGCATTCGGGGAGGAGGATGCTAATCCCAGCAAGAAACAGAAGTGCAACAACTCTGGTGGTGCTGATATCCCTCCCCAAGAGGAGAACAATGGGAAGTCATCTGAGGGAGAGGAGCTGTTTGGGTTTGATAAGTATCTTCAGATGCCGTATATGGAAGGAGGCTGGGAGGCGTCCCTTGAAAATCTACTTAATGGAGACACCATTACAACAACAACAATGCAGGATGATGGGAGCACAATGGGCCTGTGGAGCTTTGATGACCTCGCCAACATGGTTGGAGGAGCTTATTGAGAAGGGACATTCTGCTCCGCTGTTGTAAATAAAGACTACCATGTTGTAAGTTATTAAGCATCTTGTTAAAATCAAATGATTGGTTCCCGCAACTAATAGGTGCTTTTATGTATTCGCGATGTCGATTTCTGTTTGTAATGTGAGATTTTTGTTTACTTGCAGTGGAGTTTGAATGGGAGGTGAAAGAAAGAAAGAAGTCACCAAGTCAGGTTGGACATGCATAAGGCAAATGTAAGAGCAGGAGTCTGTTTTGTTTCGTATCGAGGAGCTTTTTGTGTTAGAGTACTGTAGTAAATAGATAACTACTGATGTTGTTTTGCTAAGCTGTATTCTAGAAAGAAAGACATAATATCTTGGAGACATTTTTATGGACGTTGGATATGATCCGAGTGTAATTTGACTGCTATGTGCATGTGGTGCTGGAAAGGTAGAGAAGAAGCATTGTAAAAGCTTCTGAACCTTTTCTCCCCTCCCCCATAATGTCTGACTAGTTCTTTCTGTTGTACCAGAACGTGGTAAATGAAATGCTGCTTTCATTATCCCGAGTGAGAAATGTCTTTGCTACAACTGTAACGAGATGAGAAAGGCCAATTCAAACTTTTGTGTTTGGGTTTGAACTTTGAAGGAGGGAGGCTGGAGGTGAATGTTGAAATGGGGAAGGAAGTATAGTAAAAAAAAGCACGTGGAGCAAGAGAGTGAAGAAAGGAGGAAAGGTGGTTTGAGAGACTGGGAAAATCGGGTTTGGATACATTGCAAGAGTGCCGGTTGAAGAAGCTGGTGGTAAAAAAGATGAATGGATGAGGGGAAACGGTCAAAAGTTGCAGCCTTGGAGGTGAGAAATGGTAACTAGTGGACCAAGGAAGAGGAGAAGAAGCTACCAGAAGAGAAGATGGACAGATTGATAATAGTACACGGGACTTTTGTAGATTAGTAGGTCTAGGAAAGCGTAGCCAATTAGCCATACGGTGTTGATGAAACCGCCTGTTGTCCTCCGTCAATCTTTTTTGTGGCTGCTGATGAATCAGAATCTGCAGTTTTCGTTTTTGTTTTTTGGGGGGGAAAGAATCCAAAAGAGGTGACTAGAGTCTACAGTTCAGTTGCAGAGTGGGGCTCTTGCTGCGCGTCATTATTTCATAATTTGGTTCATTTTGATTTTCTTTTTTGATTTAGGCAAGTTGCAACATAAACCAATCCAGTCCAGTCAGAGGAGTCAGTATTCCTTTTTGTTTTTTTGGATTCTTCTCGTCGGCATCAGGAACTTATTCGTCATTTAGGGATGTTGGGCTGGGCCCAAGATCAAGGAGGGCATTCTAGTTGGTTTTGAGCTGCAGAGCCCATAATTGGGTATGACTTAATGGGTGAGGGCCTGACTTGAGAGGCCCAACTATTTTAACGAGTGAAGTGATGGCATTTGCACTAGGTTAGTGATGGCAATGGGTGCGGTACTGCGGGTTAGGCCGGGTAGTATTATATTGAAGGGTTATAGGTATAATATGCTCATGTACTATTTTTTACATCAAACATGTCCATGTACTTTGACAAAATTATCAAACATGCCCTTATGCTAAAATTTCCATTAAAAATAATCATCAATCATGGTTGAACTGAGATTTAGATGACCCGACATAGGCGAATGGGAGGGAAAATATCAGTTTTGTCCCCGTTTTATTTCTCTAGGTCTCTTCAAAGTGAAATTATTTGAATTACTTAGCTATACAAAATAACCAACAAAAATTCCAATGTGAAATTCTTAGGGATATTTTAGACATTTGTGTCGGCCAAACCAAAGTTCAGCGTTGGTTAACAGTTTTAGGATGAAAATTTTAACAAAAAGGTATGTTTGATAATTTTTACAAAATACATGGGCATGTTTGATGTAAAACATAGTAAAGGGCATGTTTGATAAAAGATCATAGTAGAGGGGCATATTATACCTATAACCCTATATTGAATTAGAAAGTGTAAAATTAAATTGGCAAAATTATCATCATTCATGTCACATAAATGAATATTGATAATTGTGGTCAACGTACTAAAATTTGGTGGTCGATCTTGAAATCACATTATAAAAAAAAATACGAACATATTAGTGATGACAATGGGGCAGGCAAGTACCTCAATACCCATATCCATCATGCACCAAGCGTGGGTCTAGTCAGGTAATACCCTCGAGGGTAGGGATTCCACGACTCTACCATCAATCAATTATGTTCCACTTAATCCCTATTTCATGACCACATATCTTTTAGGCTAAGGAATGAGAAAACTTTCTACTATTCCATGAATCCGATTTTCATTTCATCCGGGAAACCATCTTTTTCTTAACAATGTATTTGTCATTTGATCCAGTAGCGTTTCATTAGATTCGAACAAATTTGATAACTACTGATAGCGGGGCGGATCAACCCACTCTTACATGTTATTTGAAAAAAATACACAAATTTTTCTTTTTACGATAAAACGAAGGGAAAACACTTGATGAATGAAAAATAGTGATAATAGAATGAGAATTTGAGTCTAACTAGTTGAAAGATAAAGTCGAACTAGTTGAAGAAAAGTCAAAATAGGAGAAATATGCATAAATATTGTAAGAAATTAAGATAGAGTGGACCAAGAATGGGACGGGGTGGAATAGAAGTAAATACCCATGTCTCATCCCCACGCTACTGCTGGTGGGGTAATACCGACCCATCGTGGGTCAGGTCGGGTAATACCCACCGGAGCGTGTTCAAATTGCCATCCCTACAACATATTATTTATCATGTATAAGGAATCAAACTGAAAAATGTGTGTATGTATGTATGCATGCATGTATGGTTCAACCTAGCGTACTTTATAAACCTGCGTTCATACTACCCGCGTACACCAATGGAGTTTTACTAATTAGACCACGAAGTAACCAGAATTTGGGGCATGCATGATACTATACTCTAACATCGGGTGAACTCCAACCATTAATTCTCTAACCGGAACCATAAACTTCATTAAAAAACTGACAATTCTAATTCAATGAAATATATAAAAAGTATAATAAATATGAATGCATGCAACCGCAAACCTTTGCCATGTATATATCATATACACACATGGCTACCCAAATAAGACTAAAGGATTATTACCCGTTACTCGCATACCTCCAGAAAGATTATATATATATATGCATGTATTAGTATATACAAATATCAAATATAGCTACCCTAATAAGACTTTTGGTGTGCCCAAATGAACGAGACAGGTGCCTGCCGATTTTTGACAAGCGCGATTTTCCGTTGCGTTGCAGTTGATTCCTTGGGTAACCATTGTTATAAAGCTTATTCGTCTAATTGCGTGCATTGATGGACGTGTTTTACACTTTTTTTTTTAAGTGTAGCCAATGAAATTAGAAACCTACTTATAGTGAATGCATCTTACACTTTTTCGGTATATGAAAATATATCGTGATTTTTTTATTTATGAAAATGACAATTATATTAGTCGGTTGTTTCTTTTTCTACAAATAATTTATTTGGATAGTATTATTATTTAATCATACAACCCCTAGTATCAACTCTTGGTTTAGTCAATGGTAATAATTATATATTCATATGTATGCTTAACTATTATGGTTTTGTTTTGGGAAATTTACCTAATTTGAGTTGCTGTTTTCCATGCATAATAGTTGTGTTAACTAAACTGACAGCCCTAATATATGAGTTTGTGCTGTGTGCGAAATATAGCTTTTAATTAACCTTTTTCCTGCCATTTCAGATATTGATACTACTAGACTACATATACCGATTTTCGTTAATTTATCGGCACATTTAGTTAAATCAACGTTATCACGAGGAAGCTATAGAGGTAGAAAATGAGAAAGAACCGATGTGAAAGCAAATTCTTTTTTGTTAAAAACATTCAATCATTTATCACCACAATAAAAATTAAATTCCAAGCGGAAGAGCAGAAAGCATAAAAAAAAAAATACAAAACACCCACACCACACCACACGCACATAATATTTAGTGAGTACATATTTGAGTTTGACATGACGAGCAAATTAAACTATTTAGTTGATGGAGTAGTGGGTAACGTGGATAATATCTTGAGGCCTTTTCGGGGGATTGAATATCCCCTTCCTTTTCAGCTCCAGATACTCTCCGAATTGAAACTTGCGGTATTTTGGCAGCTCCCCGACTTCCTCCGTCAACTGCGACAACGGCTCCACCCATTTCTCCGGCGGCAAGCTGTAGAAGAAAGCGTACGAGTAGCGGCTCTTTCCCCCTGGCCGAACCACCCTGTGCGTCGCGCTCTTGAACTTGTTGTTGCTCAACACCTTCAAACCACCGCACAGTAGAAGAAGAAAAAAAAAAAGAGTTGGAATTAATCATATGATAATACTAGAACTCCATATCGGACGCAATCCTAGAATTTGATAACGCGGAAGATCGAAATAACACAGAACACAAGATTTTACGCGCTCTATTCTCGATCGATTGGTTGATCGAGACTAATCCACCCTGAGCTCGAAACAGCTCACGTATGATGTTTTATTAGAGGATCGACTACATTGTGACGGGTTGCTTACCACAGACAGACGACAACTTAACTTTTATAGAGATAGACTTAGGGTTAAAACCCTAATTAATGACAACCAAGTTCCTTCTTTTACCAGGACAAGGAAACAAGGGAATTGGAGTAAAAAAAATTAATTATTTTTTGACTAAGTAATTAATATCCGCAGCAACCACTAGGGTTAGTATGTACCTGGATAATGTCTCCGACATTGACCACGATGGCGCCCGGTTCAGGAGTGGCCGGAATCCACTCTCCGTTTCTGAACACCTCCAATCCTCCGGCATCATCTTGGAAGACCAAGGTGATAGAGTTGGAGTCCTCGTGGGGCGTGAGGCCGTTGGTCTGGCCCTCGGTGGCCGCGAAATACTGGTGAGCCATCAGGAAATCCGAGCTCCTGTCGGAGTTGAACTCCTTGAGAAGTCCCGAGGGAAGACCCAAGCAGTCGTTGATGATGCCCTCGATCAACGATGCCGTCTTGCTCAGGCTTGTGAACACCTCTTCTTCCACTTCCCTACACACACAGAGAGAGAGAGAGAGCACATATTCAAAATGGGCCGAGCAGGTACGTTGACGGCAGGGTGCCATAGCTAGGTGGCAAATGGGTGAATCCATAGATTGGTAGATCTACTGATCAAATGAATTAAGATAATATAAATTGATCCTAATGACGTCCAAGATTTGGACCGATACGTAAATTTTGAAAAGTTTAATAACTACTAAAATGTCATAATAAAAAAAATTTAGGTACCAAAACATATTTTTCTAATGACTTCTATCGTGTAAAAAAATTTAAGTACCAAATTATAAAATATAAAAAGGTACTAAACTGTAATTTGCCAATGATCCATGAATCCACCCATTCAATTGAATTTTGGATCAAACGAATTGGATAAATTAGTTAGATATTTAAATGGATGGATCGGATTGGATACGAAATTGTCACGACTCGTCTGGTACGTACCTGAGATGGGGAGGGTTGGCAGGGTAGATGTTGGTCATGGCGGAGGATGGAGAGAACATGAGGAGGAACTCGCTCCGGTAGGGAGGGTGGACGGGCTGGCGGTTGTACCCGGGCGCCAAAGGAGCGTCGGAGCCGCTGGAGTACCGGAGCTTCTCGTCGGCCGGGAGGTCGAAGAAGTGGGTGGAGACCTGGAAGGCGCGGTCGATGAGCGGCGTAGGGACGCCGTGGTTGACGACCTGGAAGAATCCGGTCTCCGAGCATGCTTCCTTCACCACCTCCATGACCGCCTTCTTCTTCTTCTTGCCGGTCGTCGTCTCGTCCCCGCCGTCGTCGTTTCCCGCTAAGAACGGGGAGAGATCCACGACGGGGATCCACGAGCCGGAGCTGCTGCCAGAGATTCCTGCCATCTCTCTCTTTCTCTTATTATGGTGAACTCAATGCTACTATATACATATTCATATATATATATAGGGCACGACATTGAATGAAGCTAAAAAAATGGTCGTTGGCAGCTCACATCACATGTTCTATCGTCTATCTGGTCCAACATTGTGTGCATAGTTATAAATAAATCTCTACCTTTAGTTTTCAATGAGTGAGGCCAAATCTAAAATTTCACATTAAATGGATTTTATTTGTTACGATTTTCCAAACTGCATGCATTTTTCAATCATTAATTATGATCGTAATATATTGAATTATTGCTATGACGGTTTCAAGTGCGCGATTCCAGCAGCTCTAGAATTGCTTTTATTTGATTGATGAGCTTCATGGCAGTGTTTTTGCGCATTTGCAGGGCAAAGCAGCCTAGTGGACCACTCGAAACCCGTAAGGACATCGAGCCCAAAGTTGCTGGAGCAAGGATTCGAAACATGACCGACCTCCCGAAGCCATTGTGCCACATAGCTTAGATGCGACGTCGCCAAATCACTAAACTAGTTCGGGCAAAACAACGTTGTTATTTGCCTCCACGACATCGCCGAACTTGTAACATCTCTTAGCTCGTGGCGTCGTTTAGATTCACAGACGTCACTAAATCTCACGATGCCACCTACCTCGTGGTATCGTTGAGCTCACGACATTGTTGCGCTCCGCATGAATTAATTTTTTAATAAAAAAACTTTAGTTATTGGAGGTTGACATGGGTGTGTGTCTAGACAGATGGATCAGTCCGACAACCAGATTCGAGAGCAGCAGTTGGGAGATTGATACGGGATTGGACAAGATAATGCTTTGGAGCCTTCACCGAAAAATCTTGGAGTTTGTACCATCACACGAGCTGAAATTATGGTGGCAATTCGTGGGTTGTAGGTGTCGTGGAGGATGGGGCACAAGAAAATTCAGCTTCGTCTAGGGATGGCAACAAATTAAAACCCGAACCCACGTGTACCCTACCCGACCCAACCCGGTCAAGGCAGGTAAAACTCGTGTTGACGGGTTCGGGTTTAAACCCGTTCACTATTCACCGAGTTGGGTTGGATTTGGGTTTAGGTATACCCGCCCCATGGATACCCGCCCACACCAATATAATTGATTTTTTCGATATACTTAATATTCTAAACAACTAATCTTCTTTATGTTTGTGAAGACATATCTAATTTTTTATTTCTAATTGTGTAGAATGAAGTTGATATAATGAAGTGGAGAATGAAGAAACTTAATTGACAAGGAAGAAGAAGCTTTCAATTAATCATGTTGTTTATGGATAATTTGTGATTTGCTTCAATTTTCTTGAGTTTTCTAGATTGGTGATGAACAATTTGTATGGTTAATTTGCGATTTGCTTGAACTTTCTAGAATGGTGTTTTATATGTGGATAATTTGTATTGAGAGATTGATATTTGACTTTTATTTCATAGAAATTTGTTATTGTAAATTTTTTACGACAAAAACCCATTGGTACCCATGAAACTGCGAATACCCAATGTGTTGGGTTTGAGTTTTTCAAACCCAGTGAGTTTTACCCAGGTTTTTTTTCACGGATAAATCCATAGGTTTGAGTTTGGATTTGACAAAACCCGACCCAACCCGACCCATTGCCATCACTATCTAGACTCCACCACGGCTATTCAAATTCTCACATATGAGGCGCAACCACACAAAAGGTACTTCAATTTAACTCAACGATTCAAGAGTATCATGCAGCAAGACTGGGAAGTCCAGATTTCCCACATATATAGAGAGTGTAACAAGGCGACTGATTTTTTGGCCAATAGAAGCCATTATGTTAGCATAGGTTATCATGATTTTCATTCTTCGGATCCAGGCCTATCCTTTTGAGTCTTGTATGACACGATGGGCGTCGCCCAATCTCATTTAATTTAAGTATCAGACAGGGATGCCCTTTTAGTTAGGGGTGGAAGTTTGGGTTGCGGTTTGTGGATAATCGGCAAACCGCACCAACCCGCACCTATTGTGGGTAACCATACCCACAAGTTGTGGGTAGTGGGTTGGGTGTGGGTAGTAAAATAATAATTTTTGTGGTTAGTGGTTATCCACTATCCACCGCGGATAACCCACAAAATCCACAATAACCACACTAATTATATTTATTTAGTGAATTAACTTTATAATATAATAGTATGTGAAAAGTGTGAGGATAAAAATTAAAGTAGCCACCAAATAAAAAAGACACACCTAATCAGTTTTATGTAAGAATTTTTTAGTTTATAAAACACTATAATCGACAGAGTGGAGAATAATCAATTCATTAAAAGTGAACACCTTTTGTAACTTTTATCGGTATGTTTTTGATTTTGTGTGAAAAAAATACGAGATCATATTTAATTGTCATATTTCACCCCTAGTCGGGGAAATATGAAATCACAGCTCTCTGGCACAAAAGCTGAATACCAAACTCAAAAAGAAAAAATCTCCACGTTGAGTAAGATCGATGTACAAAATTGTATCTCCACGAACAACACAAGTGTATATCACTATAATCTAGTTACGAACAACAAATACGTTAATGGCGACTAGAACTCTATGCTTGCAAATATGGATTTTGCGGGTAACCACACCCAACCCGCACAAACCCACAATGGGTAGTGGTTACCCACTAACCACTGCGGTGCGGATTGTAGGTAGCATAATTGTAAATTTGAGGGTGTGGATACCCGCAAATTATGAGGCGGGTAACCACACCCACCCCAATTTCCACCCCTAGTATCACACTTTCTTAAAAAACTCCATTAAAAGATTTGATTATGTGATTAGGTGTGAACTTCTTAGTCTCGGGTTCGGAGTACTTGGCAGTTGGCACCACCAAAGGGCAGAGGGAGAGTGAAAGAGGGTGATTCCCATATCAATATGACTTAAAAAGTAAAGAGTGTAATAATAACCCTAAAAACATAATTTAAACAATTCATCTAATTGTTTGTCGTTTGTGTATTTGTCAATAAAATACTGCATATCTTGCAATACAAAAGTGAGTAGGTTTATGATAGGCCTTCAATTTTTGGTGAATTAGATTCACCGTTGTCACTTACAAAATTTAAATCTTAATAGATAATTTGTGAATGTGATACATGTGTAGTTACATATATTTTATTTATTGTAATTGACCCTCTATAAAAAAAATCTTAATAGATAATTTACAAATGTCATACATGAATGTTTAACTCAAATCTGAACCACTTCTCCAATAATAAGATTTTTGGTGTGCCCATATGAATGAGAGTACTTCAACTTAATAATAATTGATAATTAGTATTTTATTTAGTGTTACAAATTCATTAACCATATATACAAAATAATTCTTAATAGATAATTTGTAAATGTGATATATGAATATTAGATATTTAACTCAAATCTCAACTACCTATCCGAGTACCCCCAATAAGACTTTTGGTGTGCCCGTATGAATGAGACTCCAACTAAAAAGTAATCTGAGGATATTGCGGCAAAGGAGCAACGAGGGTGGGTTGGACTTAGCTTTCACTTGCACAGGTGGCTGCCGATTGTTGACAATTGAGGTGGAGGGGTGGAGGTGGAGGTGACTTATTTGAATGTTAATTCGGTTTAGTCCGTTGGAGCATTAATGGTTTGATTATTTTAGTCGGTTTAGTTTGAATATATGAAAAAATTATTATATTGTCCATATACTTATAAATTAAAAATCAAATCACATTTAGCATATGAGTAATTACATATAATATTATTATACCAAAATAACAGGTGGTATTTAAATCCAATATATAGTGAAAATTCACTCATACTTATATGATATTAATGTTCAACTTAAAATTCTCAAGATAGGATTAGGCGAATAAAAAAATGGAAAAAATTCATTTCATAAACAAAAAAATAAAACTATGTATTATGACTTTCAACCTGATAACATGGCAACGAGTCGACCTGTAAATATATGTGGCATGGGTCATTTGGATCAACCAGATTGTCAACCCACGAGTTACAACGTTGCTTATTTGGAGTGGATCGTGAGCAACGTGGGATGGTTGACTGTCAGGTCACAATTAGCCTACACAATATTTAATTGCTACCTTAAGCAAGAATTTTTTTTAAGTTAACAATTTAAAAAATTGCAGAATAATTTATGTTTGAAAGATATGATAATCATAGGCGGAGATACTCATAAATAGATGTACATGACGGTACACGCTATGAATATATTCGCATGAACTTAGTTGATTCGACCTGAATTTAATATCGAGGAGAGTTTGATTATGTTGCAGTATTGTATGTGATAAATAAAAAGAGGATCAAAAGTGAAAGTCTATTAATGTATGCAAAGGAATAAATCATTAGTCAATATAAAGAAAGCATTAGACTTATTGGGTAAAAGTTTTGGAATAGAAGTCCTTACACCTGAATATGTAAAACTAACGAGATACAAATGAGTTTTGTACAAACATGTAAGAAAAGTTGTGAAACTGTTAGAGATATAGCACAATTTCTCGTAAGAGGTTTATCGTAGAAACCTTACATCAATTATGAGGAGACATACATGCAACTTTGTTTTGAAACTTAAGTGGTTTGGCAGTTCAAGAAGGATGAGATTTGCATATGGTAGATGTTGTGATAGTCTATTTGTATGGATGCATTGATAATAATGTGTGTACAAAACTCCTTGAATGATTAGTTTGCCGGAAGCAAACATGTGACGTTCTCGAGATCATTTATCGATTAAATGAAACAATCCCTGGTATGAATTGAGACAAAAAGGGATGAACGCGACATATTCATCTAGTGCATTAGAGCATTTGCATTTGGCATGTACTATTGTGTATCGACATGTAGCTTATGTGTGTATTATTGTGGTTTTAGTGTGATGTATGAGTTTTTATTTATGAGTGTGGTTTGATTAATTGATGCTGTGCTTATGACGACGTGGTTTTTGCTTGTGGCTTTATGGTCTGAAGTAATTGTTTGCGTACAATTGTGTTAG